AACTTGACTTACATAACATTATAGATGTTACGAAGGCAGAAGTGAGTGGACACATCACCTTTTTCACTCCCACTATGAAAGACAACTCTTGCCTTCGCTTTCCGATCCTTCATCAACTGCATCAAAACTCTGCAAAAATCACTCCACACTTTGAGCACATACAAACACAGTCATATTGTCCAATTCTATCTAATGGCAATTCGACATAGTTAACGTTGTTAGCCGCAATTCTCACCATTGTAACTCCTTAGTGTTAAAAGTAACATTTCTTGTTCTTGCCAATTTTATCGAAACCCTATAAAATACTAATCCAACGATTGAGTGTTTTATATAAATTGACATCATTCGTGGAAAGCAATTTAGAAGAGAATAAGGTGGCATGACCTCCTAATGATAAAAATTAGAAGAGTAATATAGTTTCTAAAGGTGCGTCTTTTTTTTATCAATTCCAAATATATAATATTGTTGTTTCCTAACTATCCTAAAAGACCTAGTTTTTTTTGCCACGTGTCGAATCCTCGTGTCGTCAACCAAGACGGCGTCGTATTGGACTACCACTGGCTTTTTACCTTACATTACAGAACCCTAGCAAACCCGTTGCCTTCCCTTCTCCAACCCCATTCCTCCATTTCGAAGACACCGTGCTATCCTACTCCAAAAACCCATCACCTTCTTCATGCCGATCCCCAACGAAGACACTGTCGGTGTTTCCTTGCGAGACGGAGGCACGGAGACACGCTTCTCCTTGGTAGGAGATTTGAGTTCCCAAGCATTAGAAATCTCAGCCACCGAAGATGACAGGTATACGGCTTCTGAGGATGGGGTTTTTTTTCGTACTGTACTATATTCATTTGGTTTTGTCTACGTTCGCTCTTTGGCTCGTTATTTTGAACAAATTAGAGGCGAAGGGAATTCGCAGAAAATGAAGATATCCAAATTTTTTTAGAAAGTTAATTTTGCCATACTAAAAGAGCCAGATTTTTCAGGCCAGGTGTCAATATGAAGACACNGTCGGTGTCTCCGTGCGAGATGAAGACAGGAGACGGAGAGTCTCCATCTCGCACGGAGACACAGCGACGGAGACACATCTATTGATGGGCTTGCCTTGGCCGTGCTAATGCTTTAAGCACACATTTTTTGTTTTGCCATTAATTTGATTTGTGATGCAAATTATTGATTATTTTTAATCCTCCCCTTTCCTGCTGCCTCACTCTTGTAGACTGATGGTAGCGTCTCAAGTACACTTGTCATTGCAAATTGCGAAGTGGTAAAAATTGAGGAACCAGAGTCCAGAGACAAGAATCATATTCCCTCAGCATTATTGTCTCACTCCCGCTACAGTTTGTAAGAAATTCATGGTCTTATGAGTTTTACTCCAAATGGAAAAAATGGATCATCCCGAAAGATACTATTTTAGTTGAAAAATCAAGTTCCCGAAGTTATGGTGAAATATTTGATGGAAAAGTTTTGGGGTACTTAGAGAGTAATTCAGGAATGGGTTGTGTTCTGAAAGAGGAAGAAAAGGTGGGTCTTCTTAAAGTTGGGTTTTTTAAGGATGGAAGTGAGAAATCCAAGTTTTTAAGTTATAGTTATGAGTCGGGAATTATGAGTGTTTTGTATGGTATNTAAGGATGGAAGTGTGAAAGCGAAGTTTTTAAGTTATAGTTATGAGTCGTGAATTATGAGTGGTTTGTATGGTATGGGAGAAAAAGAGAGAATTGATATGGCTTCGATCTTGAACTTGAGTTTGAGGCTTTGTAGAGCAGGAAAAATTTATGGGTTTTGGTACAATGATAATGATAGCTGTGTTTATATGGTTTGCGAGAATTTTAATTCAACTGGTTTGTTAAAATTCTTTTATAATGAAGAGGAGGAGAGGTTGAGTAGTGATAAAATAAGTGGTTTTGGGATAGTCAGCATGGAGATGTGTGAGATTTTAATTAGTTTGATTTCCGAAGGGCTGATTATTGGTTGCTTGGATGTCAATTGTTTTGTCTTCAATGACTTCGGTCGCGTTTATGTTGATTTGGGTAAGGTTTTGAGTATGGGAAGGAGAGTGAATAAGGCAATTCAAAGAGGTCACAAGGATTTGGAAGTTAGTTTGAAGACT